AAGGTCCATGTGCAAAAGTTGTAATGGCCTAGTCGTAGAAATAACGTTCTTTGACTTAAACGAGGCCCTTACTTGCTTCCCCTTTTGACATGCATCACAAATTAGATTCTTCTCAAACTTAAGTTTAGGAACACCAATTACTAAGTCTTTAGAAACCAACTTATTAAGATGGTCCATGTTAACGTGAGCTATCCGACGATGCCATAGCCACGTTTCTTCCTCTTTGGTAATGAGGCACTTAGCTAAGATAGACGGGGAATTTTCAAGATCAAACATATAAATGTTATCCACTCTCCTACCACAAAGAATAGTCCTATTGTCACACAAGCGTTCTACAATGCATTTACTAGAATCAAAGATGACACGGTTACCTCTATCGTACAATTGGCTAATGCTAAGAAGATTGTGCTTGAGGCCCTCAACAAGAAGAACGTTCTCAACGGTGGTAGCATTGTCTCTCCCGACGGTGCCACTTCCAATTATTCTTCCCTTGTTTTTGTCACCACATTGCCACCTTTGAAATACTCTAAACTCCTAAATTTGGATGCGTCTCCGGTCATGTGCTTGGAGCATCCGCTATCGAGATACCAAGAGGTACTCGAAGCCTTCCAGCACACCTACAAAAAGATATCAAGGAGACGGTTTAGGTACCCATGTATTGTTGGGTCCTTTTTGGTTAGCATATGTGCGATGTGTGTGCGTTTGTTGAAAATGCCTAATTTTGGTGAAGCACACGGGTGCAATGTGACCTATCTTATTACAATAGTGGCAAATAACATTTGGATTATTCATCCTATATGGTTGAGTGTAGTGAGTTCTAGGTTTGCTAGGATGTGCTCTTCTAGTTTGATTATTTATCCTAGCACTTTTATTCCCCCTAGCTTTAACAAATGTTGTTTTACTAGGTTGGTTTTTCTTATATCCAAGTCCTTCACCATTACTAACTTTTTGCTTAAGTATTTTATCTAAGGTGTTTGAAGCATTATTAAACTTTCCCAATTTGCTCTCTAAACTAGCAACCTTAGCTTTTAGTGATGTACAACTAGAGCATGTAGAAGAAGAAGTAGTTGAAGGTTCTTGTGGCCTTTTTCCAAAAGAGATAATTTCTTGTTTATCATTTATATTTTTGAGTTCTTTGATATCATTCTCAAAAATCAGGATTTTTTGCTTTATTTCATTGTTTTCTTTGGAAGCCTTTTTGAACATTCCTACTAAATGTTCTACAATGCTAACAACATCATTAAGAGTTAAAGGATCATTGGGAGAAGGTTCTTGATCACTTACCTCTTTTGATGTATCAC